TCTTGTCCTTCTATCATATTCAGCCTTCATTCAGGTTTCAGTATTTCCTCTCGACTACATTGCCTTTGATCAAGCCTCACCAGGCATCCTATACTTTCCTAGCCATCGATTGTAGATCACTTGTTGTCCCCTTGTCTCTGGGTTTGTTGACACCCCCTTCCTTTTCCTTGCTCCCCTCTCTCCTGTGTGTCCCACCCCCCCTCCAACCACTGGTCCTGTTGTTTTCTCATCCAGATTGTTTATACGACCTACTTATCTAGATAGACTTGTAGAGACAATAATAAGCACAAAACAACAACAAATGAATGACAGAAAAGCCTATAAATAGTTCCCGGTCTGTTTGTTGACCATTAGGGATGTTTTCCGGTTGAGTGTGATGGAGTGCCATGCCCTGGGCCGAAAGACTGTTTTTGGTTTTCCCCAGGAACTTTATTGCTTTGCTTCCCTGGCTGCTCTGTTGCATGCCCTTACTGTTTCGCCTCAGTGTGATGGAGACAGATCAGGTACAATTCCCACACTGTATCTCCAGTGTTGTCCCCGTAGTGCTATGGGTCGTGTTTTACTTTTTTAATGTTAAATATCGGCAGCTCTTCCTTTTGTTTGAAGAAAATCCTGAATTGGAGCTAGAAGTACAGTAAATTTTTGATACTTTCCGTGTCTCCAGCAATGAGCATTGGCAAAGAACACAAGATTGTTAAATTCATTTTCTTACATTTATTTTAACAATCTTATAAATCAGTGATCACTTGTAGCTTTACGCATATGGTGAACCCTTTTAAATAACTGTATTTTAATTAACTGTATCTTAAATAACTGTATCCATGATAGTCTACTTCCAAAAAATGGAGCACAAATTCTTTTTTCTTTCTTTTTTTCAATCATTTTATTGGAGGCTCATACAGCTCTTATCAAAATACATACATTTATCCATTGTATCAAGCACATTTGTACATTTGGTGCCATCAGCATTTTCAAAACATTTTATTTCTACTTGAACACTGGTATCAGCTCCTCTTTTTTTTTTAATCCAACCTACCTCCCTCACAAACCCCTGATAAATTACTATTATTTTTTCATGTCTTACACCGACCGATGTCTCCCTTCACCCACTTTTCTGTTGTCTGTCCCCCAGGAGGGGCTTATATGTAGATTGTTGTGATCTGTTCCCCTTTTCTCCCCACCACCTTCCCCTTACTCTGCTGGTATTGCTACTCTCATTATTGGTCTTGAGGGGTTTGTCTGTCCTGGGTCCCCAGTGTTTCCAGCTCTTCTCTGTACCAGTGTAGACCCTCTGGTCTAGCCGGATTTGTAAGGTAGAATTGGGATCATGATGAGCACAAATATTTTTAATATGTACCACACAGTGGATCAAATTAGGGAAATGATTCCAATTCATTAATATAATACTTTTACTTTGACATAGCTGACTCATTATTTGCCTTCATCAAGATTTCATTTCTAGCTCTAAGTAATAGTATAAAAATACCTAAAATATGAAGTATATGGTTTCTTAAGGTGACAAATAGATATTTTTTGCTGTCAAATTTGGAAGTTATTTGAGAAAATGTACTTGAAGTATTAATTAGTTGGTGTCTCTAATATTGTAAAACTTAGCTAAAACTAAAAATTAAAGTACTAACAATTTTCCAAATTTTGAATTAATTGCTCTGTGATATCGTTAGAAAGGTTTAGTACTCACATCTTTCACTTTTTGTGAAATACTCTTTCAAATCTTTACTTCCTAATTTAAAAACAAGGTTTGTTTGACTGTGAGTCTTATTTTTTTCATCTCTCAATCTGAAAATGGTCACCCAGTGCAATAATATAAGCTGGCCAAAGTCACAAGCTCACACATTTTTAAAAATTTTTGTAAGATGAGTTTGTTTTTTGTTATCCATTTCAGTCTACTGTCGTGACTAATGTCATCAGTTGTGTTTGTCTGGCTGTAGCTTCTGTTACATTAATGTGTGTTTGCTCTGGAGTCTCTGGGTGCTGCAGTTGTTCATATTTAAGTACCGACTCCTGGGAGGTGGGTGGTTTGAACCGACTCAATAGTACCTGGCGATCTGCTTCTGAAAGGTCACAGCCTCAGAATCCTGCAAAGCGCAGTCTTCCTCTGTGTGCTTGCCTGCATGAACACACTCTTGCACGCACAACATGCATTTGCTGAAAATGCCTCTTAATAGCAGCCACGATTTCTTTCTTTTACGCTAATAGCTTTTCCAGTTTGCTCTCCTCCAACAAACTGTAATTGCCATTCTCTGTTAAAATAACCATCTTAGAGTCTTTACAGTATCTCTATTTTAGTCTGTCTCAGTAGTATGCTTTAATTTGGAAGTTCACCCCCCCCCTCCCCACCATGCTAGTAATGTATTAATTACCAATTCTGGTTTACCTGGATAGCACTGTAGCTGAAGCTATCTGCATGGAATATTTAAAATGAGCCTGTGACAGTGTTTTATTGTTGCAGAACAAAATCATTTGAACTGAATCAGTCTATTGACCTGAATGAGATTGATGGTATATTACATGTAATACTAGAAAGGACCCATTGGCCCAGTACACACACAACATTTTTCAGGAGGCAATGAGAAAAGTGAAGTACAACGAGGTCTCATAAATTTGGTTAACAAATAAACTTTAAAAAATGGAACTTTTCCATGAACTTTTTGAAGCTCCCTCAAATATTAGTTTTAATCTAAACAATATCATTGTGTTCTGTGGGAGATGTTTTATAATGCTCTGTTATTGAGTGAAAATTTATATTAATTTAAAAACGAAATCCACTTACTTAGTTGTACCAGCCACATTAGCGCTGCTCTAGACCAGAGCAGCTTATGTACTGTAGTAAAGGGAGCAGTCAAGTTCAGAGGCAGGAATGACTAGACCCAACTGAGCCAGATTAGCAGAGGCTGGAGGAAGACTAGAAATCTACGTGGCTGTAACAAATGTGATTTTATATCCCAGGCTGAACCCAGGACATGCAAAAATAATTATTTTAATAAGCAAGCCAATTCTTTGACTATTTGAAATGATTTGTTTTTGTATATAAAGCAACCACTTTTGGCGGGTGTGTGGGGGGGTAGGCTGAGTGATCATTTTTTTCAATTAGAAATAGTGGCATTCTGTATGTACACGAAGAGGTAGTCTTAATTTGCTCTGAGGTTACATGTCTCAGATGAACATTAGCATTTGGAGTTGTTTTAGTGCTGAACACTTAGTACTGGTTTATAGGAACTACATGCATAAAACGAAAACACAGGCAGGGAGAACCATGGCAACACAGCCATCTCTTCAGTGAAATTGGAGGAGCCCAGATTAATTAACATTTATGCTGAGACGAGAGGATACAAAGAATTAAGCTTTTTCACCAACTTAATTCCTTTATGTATTCGTCATAAAATTGATCATGTATTTTCTTGCGATTACTACTCATGTTTGAATCATCGACCAACTGCCCAGCATTTGAAAGATTACTTTTGTTCTTTGTAGAAATGTTAAGAGACTGACCTTGAGATTGCAGAGAGTATGTAGAGAAATTTTGATTGAGGTTAATGAATTGGAGTGGGTGTTTGTTAAATATAACATTGTAAATACATTTTTTAAGTCATTCACTAAAATTTTTGAATTCTGTAAGATATACAGGTTTTTTTTGTGTGTGTATTTGTTTGTTTTAAACATTTTCCCCAAATGCCTCATTTTATTACAGGTGGTTTCAGATATGTAAGAAGTGCTTTGGATTCTGCTAGAGATTACCTAATTTTTACTAATTGTTGTACTATCAAAATACTGTTTTCTCAGACAGACAGTGTTATTTTCATTATTCTGCTGTAGCTATATTAAGTGGTTTTAAACAGAACTACATTCTGAAAATATCTTGGTGCTGACTCCTAAGTTGTTTTGTTAAAATTGGCCTTATCCCCGGATGCTGATGTACAAGTTAAAATTTATTATGTGTGATTCCTTATCTTAATTGCTTATTGACTTGCTAAAACACATATCTACAGTATCAGGCTTTTTCAAGGTTTTTTTAAATTTAAATCTCTTTCTTCAAGGAACTTGACGTCAATTTTCTACTTTTGTTTTAGTCTCTCAGAGGGAAAGGATTCGCTTTCCCCAACTCATCTCAATTCAATGTGTTTTAATTATAGTTAATGTTTACGGCTTTTTTCCCTTTTCTTTTTAAAAATTCCAATATTCCCCTTGTCATTAGTGCCCTCCAGACAGTTCAAACTCAAAGCTGCCCTGTGTACGACTGTTGCTCTGTTTTAGTCCATTGTCGCATCTATGGGGTCGGTTCATCTTTTTGAGGGTCTTCCTCTTTTTGGCTGACTCTCCACTTTACCAAGAATGATGTCCCGCTGCAGAGAGTGACCCTTCTTGATCGCATGCCCGAAGTACCCGGGACAGTGTTTGCCGCCCTGGTGCCTCAGACAGATTTGTTCATGAATAAACCTGATATACTCAGTCTTCTTCCCAACGCCAGAGGGAAAGACATTCCTTCTTTGTTCTTTCTTATTAGCCGTCCGGCTTTCCCATGCAGTATCACTACAAATTGTTAGTGGTACGAAGCCTTGCAGAATATTAATTACCTTTCTTTGTTTTTCATTGAATTTTCTCCACCTCCCCAAATTCTCACCAGTTTCTATTGGGAATTATCATCTTAACGCTTTGGGTTTCATGTTGCATAAATTGCTGCTTTTAGTTTCATTTTTCATGCATTATGCAGCACCGAAAAGAATGGCAACACATGTAACAGCTTATTTGATTTTTGAAGGAGAAATTTTGAATAAAATTATGAAAAATAGCTAGTTTTCAATGCCTACACGAATTTTGAAAGACTCAAAAAGCATTCCATTGTGGACTCCAAGTCCTCTTTAAACTTCCCACCAACAGCCACTGCCTGCAGAGCCAGCAGGTCATTTGGCCCCCAGGGGCTCTCTGACTTCATGATGTGGTTTCCCGCTCTCTACACACGGTGATAAGTATTTTCCTTGCAGTTATCGCTGTGATGACTTCGTGGTTAATGACACCAAGCTGGGACTGGTACAGAAACTCAGAGAACACTTTCAGAACTTGGAAAAGTGAGTGCTGGGCCTTGGAGAAATAATGAGATGGGGGTTGGGGTTTTGTTTGTGATTTCAATGCTTACATCATTATGTTGCCGTTTTTTTTCCATTGAGTGCATTGGTCGTGTATTGCCTGCTTGCCAAACATTGATACTTCCCTCCCCACCTTTCACTTTATCCAGGTTTTTGTTTTGATTTGCTTTGATTGTGGTATAAATGTTTTTAGCAGAACATTTACCACTTCAACATTTGTTACATGTACATTTCAATGGAGTTAACTACTGTCATTCTACTGGGCAGCCAGCACAACCCTTCACTGAAGCTGGGTGAAGCTCCTTTGTTCCTGGCAGCCACTAATAAACTCTGGTCCCTCTATACTTTTGTATTTTAGATATTTTACATAAGTGGAACTGTACGATATTTGTCCTCTTGTTGACTTCACTCAGTGTAATGTTTTTTTAAGATTGGTCCACGAAGAGGCCTGTATCAGTACTTTCTTTCTCTTATGGCAGTAATACACTGTAATGACCGTGGATGTAGACGTGTCTCGCTGTGTTCCTGCTCTCATTTCTTTGGGTGTATACTAAGGGCTGGTTCAGGTGGGAATTCTACGCCCAGCTGTCTAAGGCACCTCCTGAACGCTGTTTTTCAGAGGGACTGCACTATTTTACAATTGTGATAGTGATGGATGTTCCACACATCATCTTTTCAGTGGGGTCAAAAAATTTGATAAAGTACGCCTTGGTTTTAGATATTTGAAACTAAATCCACAGTTAATGGGCACAGCTCTGCATTTACTTAATTTAATACTTGTCATAAATTAGATCCAGGTGCCCAAGAGTTTTTTCGCTATTGCCCTCCAACGTACAAGGTACTCAATTTGTGAGGGAAGTGCTAGGTACAAGGAAAGAACAGAAAACAGGTAAAGCCATTACAGAGTTACCTTTGACAGGAGAAAACCCATGCCAAGTGTCCTCTGAGGTCTGCTTAGAAACACTGAGCATTACTTTAGAGGAAAATTGGGCTTACTGGTCATACTGTTGTCCACTCTGCATTTATATGATATTGTAGCATTCTAGTTCTTTTTCTTAGGATGGGGCAATATATAGCTTCAAGTTACAAAAGAGCTATGAAATGCTTTGTCATCAACAAGAAATTATGTGAATAGACTTTTCTTACTTTAGCCAAATTATTTAGGTAAGATCCACTGATTTAAAAAACCAAGCAGTAAATAGACACCCAAATAGCCTTTGATGCTACAGAAGATGGAGCCATAGCTCACTTAATAGATGATGATAGAATCTAGTTTAACCCATTGCTGTGGAGTTGGTTCCAACGCGTAGTCACCCTGTGGAAACCAACAGCCACATCTTTCCCCAGCAGAGCAGTGGTGGATTTGAACTGCTCATCTTGCAGTTAGCTGCCTGACATGTCACCCACTGTACCACCAGTGCTTAAGGAACTATTAATCATGTAATAGCAAATTTTATTGATTTCATTCATTTCAGCTATTGCTGCATAGGGTATTCTATAGCAAATCATCATTAGCACAGAAATTCTGGATCGACACCATTTTCCAACACCTTTCTCCATCGAAGAAACACTTTGCGTAAAATTTATTAGAATGCCTTTTCCACTCTTTAAAGGGTCACTTTAAAATTATGTATCAGAGGAAATAATCTAAAAGATATATTCATGATTAAATACACAAACTTCTAAGACTGCCAGTTCTTTCCCATCATTAGTGTCAGGCTAATGGAAAGGAAACGTCATTTTTTTGCTTCCCAAAATATCCAAGTGAGATATATGACTTAGAGCTGTGGGTACATGTGTCTCAGAGTATCGGCAACCCAAGGGTAAGAGGAGACCAGATTCCACACAGTGCTGTGCTAAGTTAGTCATTTCTTCACTCGTTGCTGAGGTAAGTTGCCTCTTCACAAATTCAGTGAGGGGAGAAGGTGAATCATAAGATTATAGCTATAGATATAGATGATATAGGTAGAGAGAGATAGAACACACGCACAAATACATAATATATGTGTGTATCCTACAGTTAACTTTCAATTTTGAGCTCTATAAATAAAGCACCTGACTTTGAAATACAGGCTTTTCTATTTTTCTTGCAGTGTTTTCCCAGAGTGGTGGTAGTCTTCTCTCTCTAGACCTATTCTAATGGAAGTAGCCATATGTAACTACTTAAATTGGTGCAACCTAAATAAAATAAAGCATTCCACTCCTTAGTCACCCTACTGGGCAGCCAGGTGTGGCTGGAGGCTACTGTGTCAGACCACCAGGTGAGAAAGCATTTGTGTCCCTGGGGAACATTCCAGGGACAGTGCTGTTCTAGATAATTTGGGGAATATCTAAGGTTAAGTAAAACTCAAAGGCAATCAATAGTTTTTAAGCTGTGACTTTCACCATAGATTAAATGCTGGTAATATTTTAACAAAGGACATAACCTGTACAGTCCCGTTCTCAGTGGGATGAGCATGGAAGCGAGCTGTCTGTGGCATCTTTAGCCAGATGAAGTGCTCAGGAAAGGGAAGATCTGAAAGTTACGTAACACGAGCACATTCTCGAATGCCCTTTTACCTTTGGCTTAGTTTTGATTAGCTTCCTTGGGATTGAGATGGTAGTCTTTCCTTTAAAAAATGTAAATGGCAGAAAACATATTCTGCTTGAAGATGACCATTTTTCTAATGAAGAATCAGGTGAGTAAGATAAGAGTGGCCACACTGGTGTTGTATAAGTCACCACAGGAATCTCCTGCTTCACAGTTATCTGTGAGCAATTGCAGACCAAGTAGGTATTTTGGGTCTCTGTATCTGCCCCTGCGTCCGTTCCTGGTTAGAACTCAGGCTGCTGCGTTCAGACTAAAAGAAGGAAAGCCACTTTGAACAAGTGTCAAAGATGACAAGCAACAGAACAAAACTTAAATCCAAGGTGTTTCAGTTATTTTACGTTTTAAGAAAATACAGTTTCTTTCATCAACTGAAAAAAAAATCTGTTTAATCAGTGAGCCAGGCATAGAAAATCTGGCCAACCATGGACTGACATCAAAATGAAGAACAAAGTAACACGTGATTTGAGACTTAATGCTCAATCTTAGAATATTCTGTCTGTCAGACCAGGGTCTGGTTAGGCAGATAGAGTGGTGGTGCAGAGGGAGTGTCTCATGGACTCCACCTGGCTGACTAGCATTGCTGGGAAGCACCTGGTGGTGGCACCTTCCAGCCAGGGTCCCACCCCTGCTGGAGGAGCTGTGGACAACCACACAGAAAGCAGTGGGATTTCCAAGTAGTGGCATCCTCCAGGACTTTGAATTATTTGTGGGGCCCTGTGGGCCTAATGTGCCCCTTCATGGTTGACAGAGCAGCCAGGCAGGGCCCCATGCCCTAGACCATTAGGGCATCTGAAGTTCATTCCTTAACCTGCTGTGTAGCATGTATATATTAATGTCTTTCTGACCATCTATCTCTGTGTTTTGTGTGTTTGTGTTTTAATAGCTCAGCTTTCACAGCCGATAGGCATAGAAAAAGAAAAGTATTGGAAAACTCATCATTAAACAGCAAACTATTAAAAGTAAATGTAAGTAATTAAAATTTATTCAAATATACATTAGTTGGGATCTAGTCACTGTTTTATTACAACTCTTAACATACCATGTTGCCTTCTGGACTTTTGTAGAGGTCTTGAGTTTAGCATATGTTCTACAATGGTTGCCACTTGTACTAAGGATTCTTAGGTGAGAACCCCGGGAGCGCCTCTGTCCTGGCCTCGTTCCCATTATGGAGATGCCCGCACCGCTCTGCCACACAAGGCGGTGCTCTCTGAGTGCTTGCTCATGTCTCCCCTGATTCCATCTCTCTAGACACTCAAACACCCTGGCTTCCTTCTGTGAGAGATTGTTAATGCAAGCTGTGTGGTTCTGAAATTTTAGTGAATTTTATTTCTTAGGACTTCATTTATGTACTATCAGCATAGAATGTACCTCCGCTTTCTGGTAATCTACATCAGTTTTAATGGTGTGTCAGTCATCAGTAGATTAACACAGTTTTAAAGATCGCTAAGTATGCTCAGATGAACCTGTGTTTTACCCTGCAACTATCCCTCTCCTGGCATGCTAACTATGTTTGGACATGCACTTAACTGACATGTTACGATTTTGTGAAAGAGCTAGAGTGTTCTTTTTTTTTTTGTTTTGTTTTGAGCTAGAGTGTTCTTGTAGTTACCTGAATAATGAATGGGCACATGTGCTCTGGGATGGGGGAGGGGTGTCAATTCATCTCTTCGTGTGGCACTCAGATTACATAGTACATTTATAGAGCTAACCGGAAAACCAAGCCTTGGTTGTTATGAGAAGTTCAGATACTTTTCCAAGGTGTATGTGTTTTGCTGGGAAAGCATGGATTGATCATTAATGCATGACTTAGAGTTAAATGTTTAGGGACATAAATACTTGGGAGCATATGTGTTTAGATATTTTCAACTTCTAGTAGTTTTAATGGAGGGTTAAAAGGCATTTAGTGTTAGATGTTGCTTTTTTTTTAAAGGACTTGTCTGTGTTGTTTGCTTGTTTGTTTTTGCAGTAGGTACTTTTTAGTCTTTATTAATGCAGATTTCTTCATAAACTCCATGCTACTCCCATTAAGAGTAAGCCAAGAATTGAGAGCAGCCTCCTAAAACTATCTCATCACTAACATAGAGAAGAGAAAGAGTTTATATATGAGGTAGTCATTGCACGGAAAAGGACCGATTCCAAATTGTCCGGTTGCTAGACTTTGAATAGAAATACTTGGCCTTCACCTGGTGCTGCTAATGACCGCTCTCCCTGTCCCCTCTACAGGGCAGCACCACTGCCATCTGTGCCACTGGCCTCCGGAACTTGGGGAACACATGTTTTATGAATGCCATTCTTCAGTCACTCAGGTACTGTAGCTTAAGTGTCTGGTTTTTGTTCCTTATGGCATGGTCAAGAACAAAGGGCCTGAGTTTGGATCCTGGCTCTGCCATTTATTCCTGCCCTGAGGCTGGCAGGGCAGGTTGCCTTATTTCCTTGTTTCCTAATCAGTAAGAATGGGAGTGATACTTCCTACCTCATAGGACAATTGGGAGAAATATATAACACCATTGGTATAAAATGTGTAGAGCCTAGCAGTAAAAGTTAGCCACTGTTATTAGTATTTTCTCGTTTTGATTAGGCTAAAGCAGGGGGTCAGGAAATGTTCTGTAAAAGGCCAGAGTAAATTATTTTAGTCATCGTAGACTGCATACAGTCTGTCACATATTTTCTTTCATTTTTAAAAAAATTGCTTTTAAAAATGTAAAGCGCCATCTGAGCTGATTGCCCAAGTACAAACAACAGGCTGTACAAAAACGGGTTGAAGTCTGGATTTGGCCTGTGAGCTGTAGTTTGCCAGCTTTGGGGCTTCCGGAGCCCCTGTCCAGAGAGCCTACCTCAATCATTAGCCAAGGCTCACAGGTTTCCTTTAGTATTTTTTTTTTTTTCATTCTAAAGATCTAAACATCAAGGTTGACGTAAGAAGAAATTATTTTTAAAGTTATGTCATTTTTAGATTTTAACAAGGTTTTAAAGGCCAGAGTAAATGACGGTAGGATTAGTCACCTGGCTAAGAGGCACAGGTGCCTTATTTGATCTCTCCATGAAAGACACTGCTGTTCAGCTTGTGCATTTTCATTCAAAGAAGAATTCTCATTTCTGTTACTGCCTTTGATTCAATCCCCACTCATATGACCCTGCATAGGATTTCCAAAACTAAGTATTTATGGGAGCAGACAGTCTCTTTCACCTATAGAGCAGCTGGTGGGTTTGAACCTCTGATCTTGTAGTTAGCAGTCCATTGCCTAACCCACAGGGCCACCTGGGCTCTTCGTGACTGTATAGTATATCTAAGTGATATGTTTAGTTCCATGGTCTCTTTCCTAAGGAAATATTGAATACCTAGAAATAAGCACTTTGAGGGGGCGGGGTTTGAATTTTTTTTAGAGTAAAAGTTTGGCCATCTGTCTACAGTATTTGTCTTGGAGCTAATGAGGAAGAGTAAGACAAGAGATTTCACTGAATGCAATTTAAATGAGACAATTGAATGATTACATTTTCGAACTCTTATCTGTAGACTTTCTAGAACTTTCTTCACAGCCCTATTAAATTCTTTATCACATAATTTTCTTCCTTTCCCTTTTAAATAGTAACATTGAGCAGTTTTGCTGTTATTTCAAAGAACTGCCTGCTGTGGAGCTAAGGAACGGGAAAACAGCAGGAAGGCGGACATATCACACCAGGAGCCAAGGGGATGACAACGTGTGAGTTATGCGAGTGGGCTCTTTCTGGCTTTGAGCTGCAAGACAAAGGACTCGTGCAGGCGGCTTTCGTTGCATAGCACAAATAAAAATTTAATTTTTCCCTAAAGATTGTGCTGAAGCATCTAGTGGGTACTGGAATTATTATACTGAGCATTCTACTTACTGTGGCTTTTCAAATTGGGGTATCCTGAAAATGATAACATCTGTGTATGAAAGAAGTACAGTTCTACCCATTAGTCAATGTGACATTCTGTAGGTAAATTTGTCTTGGATAAAAAATATATTTGTAGCGGGCAATTTAATTTCAAGGCAAAGCAGTTAATTTTTAGTTACGATGAAGAGGGGGGAAGTGGGTCAGTGATTATTCCGGGGCAGCTCTGTATTCAAATTCTGTGTAGTCAGACTTAGTTCAGGTTCCAAAGTTCTATCCTGGGCCATGACTCTGAGGGGGCGTTTTCTCCGTAACAGTACTGACAGCAAGACTGACGGATCCGTAGCTAATGCTCGCCTGCACTCCCCCACACTGAACAGGTGTCTGTTAACCTGACACTGTCCTGCCTGGGTGGCTGAGGAGTCATGGGCAGTAGGAACAGAGCCCAAATGTGGGGGAGCAGGGGTGGCATGGCCTCCCTGGAAGTAGCACATGAGAGGAACCTAGAAGTGCCTGTGTTCAGGGAGGCCATGCACCACAGTCTTCATTGGAGAGGCAAGCACTGAGCTTGAGAATAAAACGTCTCGGGTACAGAAGTCCCGGGAAGAATCAGTAGCACTCTGGTAGGAAGGTCACTCAGGATTACGTTTTATGCTGCAGTACGTGCCTCTGGGCCACTTTAGGAAGAGAAGGAATCCGTTGAAGGGCTGTTGATGAGCTAACTGCCGCTGGATGGCAGAAGACCTGGGCTGGGGTGTAGGCCGCCAGCACCACAGTGACAGAAGCTGGTGCCACCACTGCCACCTGACAGGACTCAGACTGTCCCTGTTTCCTTGTGCCACTGCTTCTTGCTTCAGATGGGCAGAGTCCAGGACATGTAGTGTGTCCTGGCGACAAGGAAAGCTGTCTAACTTCTCAGCTTCCACAGTGCGAGGTGGGTCCTGACTCACCAAGATGTGTACAGTGGGGAATCCCCCAAACACAGGAAGTAGATTCCAGACCTGGCTAGTCAAAACCCTGGTGTCTCAGGGACATATTGGATAACAAGTGGTAAAAAGGAAGAAAGACAGTGAGATTCTCTGGGTTATCATTAGGCATCCAAGAGTATGATGGTTTTATTGCTCGACGTGGGCCATTGAACTTGAGGAAGAGTATCCCTTTAGCTACTTGTGTAGAAAACCCAAATTAACAGTGATTTATTCTTTCATATGAAACTTGGAGGTCATCTGTCTAGGGTGGTTTCACCAAGTCTTTAGACTCTTTCCAGCTTTCTGTTCCACCACCCCAGGTTGGAGTTCTTAGCCCTATGCTCCCAGGTAGTGTGGTGCTCTCCTACCAGGTCGTCCTCCTGGCCGCCAGGGAGGAAGGAGGACGAGAGCAACGAGAAGGGCTTTCGTCCATCAAGGAAATCTTCAGGCACTGTTGGACACACTCAGCTCTCTCTCCCGGAGGTCATTCGCCCCGCAGAGGCAATGGAAGCTGTATTCCTGTGAAAGGAGAGGAGAATGGCCACCAGGGGCAGTACAAAGAGGGTGGTGGGCAGCGACAGAGAGTGGGTACTCAAGTAGTTAGTACCCGTTGGGTTTGGAGTGACAAGAGGTCATTCAGAAGAAGAGCCCTACTGGACACTGGAGAAACCGGAATAAAAGTGGTCATGGGGAAGCTGTCCGAGCTGTGGCGTTGAGCCTGCTGGAGTGTGCGACCAGGCAGACTTCGTGAGGCCGAGGTGGTCACAGTCTGAGGCCTGCACCAACTCCCTAGGGAGGGTTGAGACACAAAAGAAACTTTCAAAGAGTTTCTGGGGAAAAACGTGTTAAATTATTCAACTTGTTCATGGTGAAATCTCCATTCTTAAATAATTTGCCTTGTGTCTTAACCACTGCTTTATTGGGAAAAATTTTTTTTTAATTCAGAGGGTACAAGTATAGAAATACTTGGCACCCTCAAAATTCATAGGACTAAAGAACTCGTTTTATGAGCAGTTAGTGCTATTTATATAGGTTTGTGAGATGTCACTTAACCATCAGACTTAGTTCAGAAAAGACCCACTCTTTTGATTGATCTGCTCTGCGCCTGCACGTTGTGGATTGACACTGCAGCCTCTCCTTCATTCATGCCTGACCTCCACCCGCCCTTCCTGTCTTCCAGGTCTTTGGTGGAGGAGTTTAGAAAGACTCTCTGTGCTCTTTGGCAAGGCAGCCAGACTGCATTTAGCCCAGAGTCCTTATTCTATGTTGTCTGGAAGATTATGCCGAATTTTAGGTGAGTATTACTTTAATGAGGGATATTTAAGCATATTTAGTGTTGGTCTTTTTATTGTTGCTGCAGCCATTTTCATGAGCTCCTATGCTAAATAATCTATGCTGGTTTGTTTGCTTGAGAAGAGCAGAAACTCACTGTATCTGAGTAAACAGACACGTCAGTATAAGTAATTCATGTTAGAAATGGTCTACAGAGAGCAGGGTGTTTTGTAGAAGAAAACTGACTAGACAGCATTTCCTTGGTTCTTTCAGAATTAATTCTTGGATTTAATACAATATTCCTAATATCAGTTTATACCTGATTGTCATGAAAAACAACAACAAACTTTTAGTTAAGCTGCAGAAGCATTAGACCCCTTCTGAAGAACACACAGAAGGGAAGCAGCGTGTTCAATCACACGCACCTAACAGATGTTACGACCAGAATTAGGACTCGCATCTTTGGGGAGTTGGCTTATAGTAGATGTGTTAACAGTAATTGTTCACAGGAGATCCACGCACCGACTTTGTACTGTTCTCCTTAATGATCACTGTGACCAGGTTCCCTCACTGTTTATTGGGAGATTAGAAAGCTTATGATGGGTTTATTCCATAGAATGCTACTTTTCATCTAAATAGATGCACAGCTCTGCCTAGTTTTGTTTCTATAGCTCAGGTGAGTATGATTTAGATTTTAGTTGGTTAGTTTTACATGTGGTTAGTATTCCTACTCGTGAAGCAACAGACCGTTTAGAAAAGGTAACCCAAATGAGGAACTTGCCATGGAGCCGGGGGTGGGGTGGGGGGAGGATTCCTGATGCACTGAGCTCTTCTATTTTGTTAGTGAATTTAGGATGCCTTTGTGTCTAGTTTGCACCTAACTGAGACTGTCTCCAGGGACTCCAGTGTCTCCAGTGACTATGTTTTCTCTGGGGTGGACTTGGATCTGGAGCTCGTATTAAGGATAAAGCCTGGTCACTGTACAAGATTATTGGACAGTGTCCAGATGAGGCAGGGAGGTGGGGCTTTCTTACAGCTCTCACTCTGGGAGGTATGCTGGCTAAGGGCCTTATTCATACTCAGCCTCTGTGCAAGTACAGTTGGTTTGAATATGTCTGTTA